AAACTTATCCTACATCAGAGAGAATTGATATGATTTTACTAGTTGGTGAATTCAGTGGGCATTCACCAATTAATAGAATACTTAAATGCTCCTGATTTTATCTAGTCCGTTTTTTTATTGGGATATGTTAAAGAGAGTGTTTACAAAACTCGACCAATTATTGTCGACAACATTAGAGAAATTATTGTAGCTGCTTTTCGAAGTAGAACTCCAAATATGCCTTTCAAAATGAAAAGGTCTTTTAAAAAGACAATCATTTTCTGCAGTTATCAGGAAAGGAAGAATTTTGAGCATTTTATTTTATCTAGCTAATTTTTGTCACATAATTATAGGTTTTTATCTTGTTTTAATACTGTAATAATTAACATAATATGTTTTAAATGTGTATCTTTTTATTACCGTTGAGTATTTTACTATACATCCTTTAATTTTTGTTAAATTAACAAAAGGTATATCACAGCCACCTAGATTTTTTGGAATAATAAAGATCTACTGACGCAAAATCATAAAAATTAAAATATCTAAGAAAACCTTTGTCTGAGTGGTAGGCAACCTTAATAGTATTTTGATGATATATGAATTCCCCATTGAAAACCGGAATAATATACTGAGTGTTCCATTTAAAATAAAGGAGTAACTTGCTTTTAAAAGTGACTAATATTCCATATTAATTTTGTCTCACGCTGTATAACTTTTCGGGTCAAATTTCAATTTGATTTAACACACAATGGTTACCGTAATTAAATATCAGGCTATACCAGGTCAACTAAAATTTAGGTAGCTGTTATTGAAATTTAAAATTTACTGTTCATTTTCACAAAATGTGAAATATGTCAAAATACTTAAATTTTAGGTATATGCTTCTTTAATAAAACTCACCTTTATTTTTTCCTAGAATCTAAACATCAATTAATATATAGGGTTGTGGAACTTTTTTGGGGACAACCTGTATAACTCCATATATTTTTATAAAATGCTTTCAATGAATCTACACATCCTGCCAAAATTTAATTTCGATATAAACTACTTTCTCTTGTTCGTTCTCTTTGGTGCCTCCGCGTCTTATGAGAGGCGCCACCCTGTATACAACCCTAATTTTTCACCCTTCTACCATCAACCCCTATTTTTTAATAGTGATATTAGTAATTCAATAATTTGCAATCCCGGTCGATAACTGATCAACTATCACTTGATCCGAGGGGTAATTCGCTATGGAATTTGGTATACACGGACTTGGAATTTTTTGGAATTTTTCTGAATTTTTTGGAATTATTTGGGATTTTTTGAGAAAAAAATCCATTTGGTGTACACGATTCGAGCAGCGGTTTACCCCTCGACTTGATCCCTGTGTCACTTCCGACCCGGTCAACAGCATGAAGTAACTAGGAATAATCCTTCTTCTTCTTATCATGCCCTCTCCTGCCGAAGGTTAGCGATCCAAATGGCAATTGTGACTCTGGAAACTGCAGCCTGGAAGATTTCCGCAGACGAGCGTTCAAACCATCTCATAAAATCGTTTAGCCATGAGTTCTGGCATCTTCCTACTGATCTTTTCCCTTGCACTTTGCCCTCTATTATGAGGTGCAGTAGAACCTACGCGCAGTAGTATCTACCACCTCTCATCACATGACCCAGGTATTGCATTTTTCTTTCCTTGATGGTGTTCAGTATCTCTTTTTGTTTCTGCATGCTTTTGTTTCTGCTGATGAGTACTTCATCGTTGGTGATCGTTTGTACCCATGAGATTCGCCGCATCCGTCTGTATACATACATTTTGAAGGCTTCTATTCCCTTTTCGGTCTGTGAATCCAGTGTCCAGCTCTCACATCCATAGAGTAACACAGAGAAGACGTAGCATCTGGCCATTCAAGTTCTGAGTCAGGCCTGAGGTCTCGTCTTGTAAAAAATGATTTCATTCTCACGAAGATTTTTCTCGCTTGCTCAATTCTTGAATATATTTCTCTATTCGGGTCGCACTGACTATTGATGTTACCTCCTAAATACTTTATTGAGGTCACTTATTCGATTGTTTGTCCCTTGACACGCAGGTGTGCATTTATTGGAGTCTTTATTGGAGAAAAGACCAATAGTTTGGTCTTGGAGACATTGAGATGCAATCCAAACATCTCACTATAGTGGACTACGGAATCTATAATGCTTTGCAGTTCTTGTATATCGTTGGCTATTATAACCGTATCATCGGCATATCTGATATTGTTTATTGGGATTCCATTGAACTTGATTCCGCCCTGGATTCGAGCCAGTGCTTCTCTAAATATAGTCTCCAAGTACAGGTTAAACAAGAGCGGAGACAAGACGCAACCCTGCCGAACACCCCGTCTGATTTAAGCTACACGCACACTGGTGCGATCACGGCCGCGATCACGATCACGATCAGGGCCCGTATTCTGTAACTTTGACATAAAAACGTTACGCTTTCAAAGCGGTGAGCGTAGGTATTCGATCAGCGAAACGCAAGGCAGTCGATTTTGGTATTCTCGTTGCCATGCGAATCGTGTTCTGGATACGCGTTGAGCACATATTGGCAACATCACAATTTCTAAGTAGCTAATAGTCAAAAGTTGATAACTGACGGATGCAACAATGAAAAATATCAATGTTACGTAAATTTCATAACCTATTGTTGAGTTATGTCAAGCTACTTTTCTATGGATATGTCATTATTCTTATTATACGAGGGAAGTGTTAAAGACTCTTCACAGTATTTTCGATGTTTTGAACAATATTTATAGCTGCCAAGTCGTAAATTATCAATTACTTATTGAGAAATTTATAGAAGTAGTAATTTTCACTAAAGAGCAAGATAACGCACAAAATCACAATTTTTTCGATTTTCACTGACAGTTCGATCCTTTAAGACAACCGTTTTCAAAGCGCTCTGCGCAATCAGTAAAGACGCTAAGCGCGTCAGACGAGAATACCGAAATCGTTAATTAAGTGTGCGCTCAGCGAAAATTAACATCATATACGCTGAGCGTCTAAAAGCGCTTAGCGTTTTCAAAGTTACAGAATACGGGCCCAGGGCAGCGATAACATAAGCGATCATTCTAGCACACACCAACGCGTTCACGTTCACCGCCGTACCTATATGTACTGAGCTATCCTGTAGGTATACATAGGTACAAATTAAAAATGTGAATTATGTATACCGAAATTAAATATTTACCTACAATATTTAAACTTAAACAATAAAAATGTATACATATGTACTATCCAATCCAATTGCAACTCCAATTTTGTCTTAAACTTTTTATTTTTAATTCTATTATTTTTGTAACTTGGATCGGATAAATCATATAGAATTTTGTGTATTTTTACAGCCTTAATTAGCTGCTCTGTTAACTCCATTTCTAAATTGCAACAAGAAAAAACACACAAAATAACGGAAAGCTCCTATCAGTTTTAGGTCGCGATCACGCAATCAAACTCGACAAGTTGGGTCTGATTGCCACCGCAGAATAGAACACCGCCAGGCCGCTTCGTCTCCAAAACTCGATCGCGCCAATGTGAAACGGCTCATATGTATTCTTTAGCAACGTTTGGCCGCGGCCGCATTGGAGATCGTGAGCGCGGCCGTGATCGCTCCAGTGTGCGTACAGCTTTTTATCTTCCGCTGTTGACTGCTTCATCTCAACTACCGCCGTTTGATGCCAATAAAGTTCTGATATGAAACGTAGGTCTTGTTCGTCAACTCCGGCAGTGTTACCAACTCCGAGATTTTATTCCTAAATGTGGGGAGAAAAAATCTATATGGGGATTTATTTAGGGAGTAAAATTTTTTGGGGATATTTTTAAGGATAAAATTTCAATGGAATTTTACCGCTACCAAAGAGGAGATAAGACCGCTACTGCTATTTTTCAAAATTAATAGGAAAGTATAGATAAAACAAAATAATTTATTTATTTTAATCACCGAATCTTGGATAACAGTTGTGGGGATTTTAGTTGTTTGGATTTAAGAAGTTTTGAGATTGCTTTAATGGAAAGTTTCGAACAGTTGGCTATATTTCTGTGATCAAACGTTTCAAGATCAACCACTTAAAACACAACAAATTGTTTATTTATTATTATTTATATTTTTAGGGTTTTTCGGGATATTTTTTTAGGTTTTTAGGGATATTTTGGGGATTTTTGATGCGAGCGTTTTAGATTTTTAGGGAGATAAATTTTTGAGAGTTGGGAACACTGAACTCCGGTTGTTCTTAGAATTTTGATCATGTTCTGATGATTAACACAGTCGAACGCCTTACGATAGTCTATGAAGCATGCAAATAGGAATATAAAATAGGAAAATAGGAATAATCCTAGGAATAATTTATATGGCAAAACAACGTTTGCCCGGTAAGCTAGTATATTATAAATTTATGCCTAGAATTCCTTTGCTCTTGCGTTTATAACAGAATTTTTTTTTGTATTTTGAACAACACTATGTTTCATCCATGTCTTGTAATGGACCACTGTAAAAACACAATTTTTATAATATTTATATTTTTAAATTTATAGTAATAACGCTGGATTTTATCATTCCATTAGAGATAAGTGATAATTCCCAAATGCTATAATTGTCATTATTTGTCTCTTTGTGTATTTTCATGTTAAATGTGTTAATGAGTTAATGTTTGACTTGCTTTTTATTCAAAATAAAAACGCTTTTTGTTCAAAAGTATATTTGGAATTATGGTAAAATACAAACTTTCGAACATCGAACAGGCATTTAAAAAACGAGAATTAGAAATGTATGTTTACTGAAACCTGATTTTAAGTATTTTTCATACTTTTGTTTTGACGAGGTAAATATTAGTGAGTATATTTATATCAATACATTTATATCTCCTAATGGCATAAGCTAATGAAATAATATTATATGCTATTTGACCCATCGAGATGTGGGTAGAGCGATGAAAATTTAATTTCCCGGTGCATGTTTTCTAAATAAATACCGGACAATTATCCCTGGTCGGCTGCAGCTAATTGCTTACCTGTATGTGGGGACTCGCACTCTGCTTAATAGAAGCGGGTGTGTTTCTCGCTCCCACTATTGCCAGATAGTCAATTAGACGGGGGCAGAGGAATTGTCTTTCGTCGTCCGTCGACATCCTACCAATTGCTTCGGTCTAAACTGGGTCAACTACTTGAGCAAACCACTAAGGACCTTGTTGCAGTATGGTTCATATTGTTGTGCTTGCAAACTGTAACAAAATAATGTCTGTTTATCAATATAATACAATCAAAATCAGATTATATTGAGAACAGTGACGACTTGTACATAAGCTCTTTAGAGTTATACCAGGTGCATCTCAAAAGTGGCTCACCCTTATAACTTTTTTATTTTTCCAGATAATATAACGAGATTTGGTATGTTAGTATATGACATAAATTGGGATTGATTGACGTATTCAGTTGTTTTTTATCACTTCCTGTTTCACCGGAAATGACTACTACATTTGATTTTTATATGGCACCCCCAGTATATTTTTACTTTATTCGATAGAAAATGATATTCTGGATAGAATGACGTATCATATGTCAACTTTTGACATTCTCGCTTAATAAAAAATCGTATTTTAAATTTCAATCTAGAGTACCATGGCTATGTTAAAAACACTAAGTTTTAATCAAGGAGCCTTGGAAAAATAGATTTAATCGTCTAATGTTTTTAGTGTCTTGTTCTGTTCGGTTAAAACAAGACCAAATCGTATTTTTAATCATATCTCAATTTTTTCAAATGGAACGAGGGTGGCTCATTAGCATATTTTTAATAAGCATTTTTTTGCGAATAATTTGATAGAACACACTTGGTATATTTCGAGTTAAATTTTACTTATGAACCGCATGTTAAAATTTCAAATAACCCATATGCAAAAATGTCAAAAGTTGACATATGACATGTCATTCTATTCAGAGTGTTATTTTCAAAGGTTATTTTCTATCGATTAAAGTAGAAAAAATAACAGAGGGTACCATTTAACAATCAAAAGTTGTAGTCATTTTCGGTGAAACATGAAGTGACCGAAAACAATTGAATACATCAATCAATCCTAATTTATACCATATACTAACATATCAAATCTCGTTTTTATCTGGAAAAATAAAAAAGTTATAGGGGTGAGCCACTTTTGAGACGCACCCGGTATGAAACAAAATATTATCTATATTCGGAAAAGCAGATAAATTTCCCACCTCTTCCTCTTAGATCACTATGTAGTTCACTCTCTCGCCGTAAGGTGGAGCCACGCATTTTAAAGCCAAACAAAAAATGTGTCGATCCAGACGCTCTCCCGGAATATATCACGCCGGACCGTCCTCAATTCATTATTCTTTTGCGTGTAGGTGGAACCACGTCGATTTCGGTACTATGAGTAGACGCGCGCATAATTCGCGAAAACGAGTTATCTCGGACGATGACTCGGATTCGAGTTCGTCAGAAATGTCCGAAATTTTGAAACAATTAAAAAAACTATCAAATAAAGTTTCGTGCCTTCAGAAAAAACGCAAAGTTCGCGAGCGTTCTCCTTCAGTGTCAGTTACTTCCGAAAATCCCTCAGATAATGAAGATTCCCAGCAAGTGAATATTCAACAAAATACTTTTGGGCTTGTAAATTATGAGCCGTCTGACACAGAACGTAAGTATTTTATTTTTTCTTTTTACCCATGTCCTCTTGACCCATGTCAAGAGTTTATAAATATAGACTAATAATGCCACGAGTTTGGCATTTCAGTGGTTTAAGTTTTGAGTTTTCTTGTTCGCAGGGCCATATATTTTTTTTTTCTCGACTAGCGGCAACGAGTTTTGCCACACACACTAGAGCCCCTATTATTATTACCGTCGTTATGAATATTGTCACGAGTGTGACAGGGCAATGTGTAAACCAAAAAGTCTAGTAAAAGATGATATTGTCAACAAGTTTTGGCATTAACAATAAAAATATACATAATTTATTACGACACTGTTTTATAGATATTGTCACGAGTTGGCAAATTTTGTCCCTTTCAGAACAAATAAGAAAATGTTATTTTTTTTTTGGCTACTTTTGACACCTTCCTCTCTTCTTGCAGAGGACAACAATAGTGTCGAGCCCCAAGATTCGATACCAGAGGAGCTCCTTGCTCTCCTTGGGAAAAATAGCTCAACAAATCAACCTGATTCTGAAAACCTAAACAACGAGCTTGCTCAGGTTTGGTCAAATATTTTACAAGAGGGACTAGATCCCGAGGTCCTAGGAACCATTTCCAAAAAATACTCCCCTCCCAATAACTTGAGCCTTGTTACTGCCCCCAAGCTCAATCTGGAAGTGTTTTCTGTTCTCACGGAACAACATAAACAGCGAGATGAAAGAATGGCTAAGCGTCAAAATCAAGTGGGCTCTGCATTGGTAGCTATTGGAAAGGCAATAACAGCGCTACTAAAAGGGGGGGAGGGGGCACCCACCAAGATGCTAATTGAGTGGCTTAGCGATGCTGGGCGTTTGATATCAGACATCCACCATAACGAATCTTCCTGCAGAAGAACTCTAGTGTCAGTAGATGTAGACAAACAATTAAGAGCGACGCTCACCAATGTCTCCGTCGACGGCTGGCTATTTGGCAAAAATTTGGGGGAACGAGTGAAAGCTGCGCGGGAAATGGAGAAACTCTCATCCGATCTCAAGTTCAGGTCAACTGCAAACAAATCCACCAACCATTTAAACTTGAAAAGCCTGCCTCGAGGAAATTTCAGGGGATATCGGGGCAGGTCGAAATATACCCAAAAACGGCAGACATACAACAACAAGCCAGTTCGGAAAATGGTTCACCCACCGAGAGAGAACCCTCCATTTTATCGACGCAATCAAGCCAGGGGGGGTCAGACATAGAGGTACGTTATAAATGTGGCAGACTTAAATATTTTTTACATTCCTGGCAATCACTCACTTCAGATAAGCTTTTACTGTCATGGATTCAAGGTTATTTAATCCCCTTTTATAAGAAACCTTACCAAAAATCTACCCCCAAAGAATTAAAATGGTCATTAACAGAAGAAAAATTTCTAAATGCTGAAATTCAACGCCTTCTTTTATTAGGTGCCATAAAGAAATGTATTGCCAAAAGCAATCAGTTTGTTTCAAATATTTTTTTAACACCCAAGCCCAACGGATCATTTAGATTAATTTTAAATCTAAAAAACTTAAACAAGTTTATTAAAACCGAACATTTTAAACTAGAGGATCATAAAATGGTCACAAAACTCTTAACTAAAAATATGTTTCTTGCATCTTTAGACCTCAAGGATGCATACCACTTGATCCCTATACATCAACGACATCGTAAATATCTGAGATTTGTGTTTGCTGGGCAACTTTATGAATACACTTGTTTACCTTTCGGCCTTAATACAGCGCCTTATCTATTTACCAAACTGCTGAAACCCGTATTATGTTACTTACGGGAACGAGGTTTTTTATCGGTGTTATATATTGATGACTTTCTATTAATGGGCCGTACTTATGAAGAATGTATATTAAATATAACTGTTACAAAGCAATTTTTGTTAGATTTAGGATTTATAATTAATTCGGAGAAGAGCGTTTTTGTTCCATGTACTAATATTAAATACTTAGGTTTTTTATATAATACTGTTGATATGTCGGTCAAGTTGCCTTTAGGAAAACAAAATAGTATTCTGAAACAGATTCATAGAGTTGAAGAAAATAGTGTTAAACTTACCATTCGAGAGTTTGCGAAATTGATCGGGAAACTTATTGCGGCTTGCCCAGCTATCAAATATGGTTGGCTTTATACCAAAAATAGCGAAAGAGAAAAATTTTTAGCTCTAAAAAAGACATATGGGTCTTATAACCATGGAATAAAAATTACTTCTGGTGTTTTAACTGACCTTATGTGGTGGAAAGATCACCTTTCTAGCAAAAATACTTTTCATAGTTTTACCTTTAAACTAGAAATTTTTAGTGATAGTTCCCTTACGGGGTGGGGCGTTTATTGTAATGGGGATAAGTCTCGGGGTTTTTGGTCTAAAAAAGATAAAAGTAATCATATAAATTATTTGGAGCTTTTAGCGGCATTTTTTGGGCTAAAATGTTTTGCGAATGATCTTGTTAATTGTGAAATTTTATTGCGGATAGACAATACTACGGCTATCTCGTACATAAACAGAATGGGTGGCATTCAGTTCCCACATCTTAACAGTCTTGCTAGAAAAATATGGGATTGGTGTGAACAGCGCAACTTAATTATCTTTGCTTCTTATATAAAGTCAAAAGAAAATTTTATTGCTGATAAAGAATCTCGTTGCCTAGATACTGAAACTGAATTTACGATTGCAAATTATGCATTCAAAAATATTTGCCGTAATTTCCGAACGCCGGAAGTTGACTTATTTGCTTCCAGAATTAATGCAAAGTGTAGGAGATTTGCTTCTTGGCTTAAAGATCCCGAGGCTGAAATTATTGATGCATTTACAGTATCATGGGAAAATTATAATTTTTATGCTTTTCCACCTTTTTCCCTCGTTGCCAAAGTGCTGCAAAAAATAATTACAGATAAAGCTGAGGGTATCGTAGTGGTTCCCTGCTGGCCAAGTCAACCCTGGTATCCGTTATTTAAGTCTCTACTTATCAAAAAGTCATTAATTTTCGCTCCTAATGCTCAATTATTACTATCCATTGATAGGACACCCCATGCTCTACACACCAACCTTTCCCTGGAAGCAGGACTCTTATCCGGCAGGGCATGATCGTCAGAAAGGTTCCAGAAGAGGCTATTGAGGTGTTAATATCATCTTTGACAGAGTCATCGATAAAACAATATGGAAATGGGTTAAAATTATGGTGGGATTTTTGCAATCATAAAAAAGTGAATTGTTTTACGTTAAATATAAGTGACATTTTACAGTTTTTATCGACTTTGTTCAATCGGGGCATGTCCTATAGTTCATTAAACACTGTACGCTCTTCTCTTGCATTACTAATATCACCACAAGTCGGTGAAGATTATCAAATTAAAAGATTTTTTAAGGGTGTTTCCAAACTTCGACCACCTTTACCCAAATACCATGTAACATGGAATCCGACATTAGTTTTAGGTTATTTAGAGACTTGTTACCCTAATGAGAAAATTAGTTTAGAAATGTTGACACGTAAATTATCGATGTTATTGGCCCTGATAACGGCACACAGAGTACAAACATTT